CAGTTTGAGAAGGTCTGCTTAAAGACAGTCCCCTTCATCTTGCCAACCGTTGGTTTCTCTTGCCAATACTTGGTTTCTGGGTGGGTAGGTGACCTTATTCTGGTCACTGAGGCTCTGTGGAAGGATTATTGTGGGGGCTTCTAGACAAAGAGTACTTGTTGCTGGAAGGGGTGGTGGTGGAATGATGCAAGGGCCGCTCTGCCTCAGTTTGGCTGGTTTCCTGTCTGGGCAAGGACAGACCTGTCACCTTCCTGCATCATGGGGGGGAGCTAGCATATTGAACTAGTCCAGCTGAAATGGCATCTGAGAGCCCCTAAAGTTGGTGATGCTGTAGCCAAACCACTAGGGGGATTTCTTGTGTTATATCTGTATAACACCAGATAGTTGAGTTGGATTCAGCACAAAGCTCTATGATAAAATTCTCTTCTGGAGCTCCATTACCTCTGGGTATATGAATAAGTGGCTGCTAAGACCTGAACTCTAACCCTATGTTGGAACATAAATTTACTAAATTTACTATTTCTACAGCCCAGGGCTCCTGCAGAACAGGACTGGGCTCCCACAAGTCCATATGATGTATCTCCACATGGACTCCTAGCAACTGAACAAGGCCACAGAATTTTTTGTTGCAGAATTAGGTGTGTAGGATGGCTGGTGAGGTGTGGCAGACATACTTGCCCCAGTCTAGATCGGTTCAACAGTAAATATATTCATATATTCACATGAATGAGTGGGGAGAGGCAGCTAGGAGAAAGTCACTCACACCTCTCATTTCTGAGGCTAGGGCCGTTTCCAACTCTTTCCATGCCAAAGCCTTTGCTGAGCCAAGTTTTGATCATTCTCCTTCTGCTGCTGCTCATCCCTTCTGCAATTGCACGCATTCTCCTTCTGCTGTCATTCATCCCCTCTGCAATTCCACCCTCCAAATCACATACTCATTTTTAAAAAATGGTAGTAAAACGTTTTATTTCTCTTTTTAAAAACATATTAATTCTAGTTCCTCCCCCCCCCCCCGCTTCCCCTAACCCCACTCCCCTTCTGCTCCTCAGAAAGGGTAAGGCCTTCCATGGGGAGTCAATGAAGTCTGTCCCATCACCATGTTGAGGCAGGACTAAAGCCCTCCTCCCTCCTGTGTCTAGGCTGAGCAAGGTATCTCTCCATAGGAAATGGGCTCTCAAAAGCCAGTTCATACATCAGGGATAGATCTTGATCCCACTGCCAGTGGCCCCACAAACTGCCCAAGGCACCCACTGTCACCTGCATTCAGGGCAGGTTCCCAAGCTGTTAGTCCAGAGTCAGTGAGCTCCCATTAGCTCAGGTCAGCTGTTTCTGTGGGTTTCCCTATCCTGGTCTTGACCACTTTGCTCTTATTATTGCTCCTCCCTCTCTTCGACTGGACACAGGGAGCTTGACCCAATGGTTAGTTGTGGATCTGTGCATTTGGTTACTGGATGCAGGTTCTATGATGACAATTACAGTAGTCCTCAATATGATTACAGTTCAGGCACCCTCTCCACTATTGATTAGAGTTTTATCCGTGGTCATCCTTGTGTATGCCTGGGAATTTCCCTAGCACCAGATTTTCAATAATCTCATAATGGCTCCCTCTATCAAGATAATTTTTCCTTGCTCTCCCTCTCAGTCCTTCCCCCAACTTGATCATCCTGCTCTCTTATGTTCACCTCTCCATCGCCTGAAGATGGATGTTTCTGTCTACCTGTTCCCACAGCCATTTAGCCCCAAATAAATACACAAAGATCTATATTAATTTGTAAACTGTTTGGCCAAAGGCTTAGGCTTTTATTGGCTAGCTCTCACTTAATTATTAACCCATTTCATTAATCTATGTTTTGCCACGAGCCTATGGCTTACCCATAATCCAGCATGTTACTCCTTCAGTAGCATGGTGTATCCTGGCTGCCTCTCTCTCTCCTCTCCCCCACATTCTCCTAGTCTGGTAGCCCCACCTATATTTACTACCTGACTCCTGGCCAATCAGTGTTTTATTCATCAACCAATAAGAGAAACATATATACAAAAGGACATACCCCATCCATTTCCCTTCCTTCTGCCCTTTCCCTTGTTATCCTTCCCCTCCTTCTCATACTCCTGACTTACTTGGAAGATCCTTTCTATTTCCCCTTCCTTCTTTGTTACTTAGCTTGTTGGAGGTTGTGGACTGTAAGCTGGTTGTCCTTTGCTTTATGCCTAATACCATATTTGTCTTTCTGGGGCTGGGTTACCTTACTCAGGATGAGTTTTCCTAGTTCCATCCATTGGCTTGCAAATTTCAAGATGTCATTGTTTATTACTGCTGAGTAGTACTCAATTGTGTAAATGTACTACATTTTATTTATCCATTCTTTGATTGAGGGGAATCTCGGTCATTTCCAGGTTCTGACTATTATGAATAATTCTTCTTTAAACATAGTTGAGCAAATGTCCTTGTGGTATCAGTGTGCACATCCTTTGAGTATATGCCCTGAAATAGTTTTACTGAGTCTTGAGGTAGATTTATTCCTAATTTTCAGAGAAACCACCATACTGATTTCCGAAATGTTTGCACAAGTTTGCACTCCCACCAGCAATGGAGAAGTATTCCCTTACTCCACATCCTTCCCAGCATAAGCTGTCATCACTGTTTTTGATCTTAGCCGTTCTGATCCTGTAAGGTGGAATCTCAGAGCTGTTTTAACTTGCATTTCCCTGATGGCTAAGGATTTTGAGTAATTCCTTAAATGTCTTTCAGCCATTTGAGTTTCTTCTGTTAAGAATTCTCTGTTTAGATCTGTACCCCATTTCTAAACTGGATTATTTGGTGTTTTGGTGTCCAGTTTCTTGAGTTCTTTGTATATTTTGGAGATCAGACTTCTGTCAGATGTGGGGTTGGTGAAGATCTTTTCCCATTCTATAGGAAGCCATTTTGTTTTGTTGACTATGTCCTTTGCCTTCTCAGTTTTAGGAGGTCTCATTTATTAATTGTTGTTCTCTGTGTCTGTCCTACTGGTGTCATATTTAGGAAGAGGTCTCCTGTGCCAATGCATTCAAGGCTACTTCCCACTTTCTCTTCTATGAGGTTCAGTGTGGTGGATTTATGCTGAGGTGCTTGGCTATAGATATGGATCTATTTGCATTTTCTACATGTTGGTCTCCAGTTATGCCAGCACCTTTTGCTGAAGATGCTTTCTTTTTTCCATTGCACATACTCACCCTTTAAATTAGCCTTTGGTTCCTCTTTGCCTTTCTTTATCCCCATTTCAATGGGAACTGGAGAAATTAGAGAATAGAGTTATGGTTTGCTAGCCAAGTTGGCATAGTTTTTGCTTTTATTGAAATACAGCATTTACTGTCCCTGGTGACTCAATTCAGAGGAAGAAAATATGCCATCATGGACAAAGAACAGAGTCTCATTGAGTATACATGTTCTGTGAACTGATAATTATTAAAAATAATAATTATTAACTCTTGTATACCATTAGGAAACTTTAAGATAGACAAGAACACTTCAGTGTGTCATGTGGATAAGGGATGGCTTCCAGAATCCCCTGTCTATAATGAGTGTCTTTCACCCCCTCCTCTGGAACTTGAGTGATTAATTTTCTCTCTTAGACAACTCAGAAGGTGTGGAATGTGGATCTCTTTATTTTCACAATTTTATTTTAAAATTGAAGTTTCAGTTATCTGGCACAGATCGAGGAAGAACATATATACAAGATATGTGAGTGGAGCATTAGACAAACCCTCACCATATGATAGTATCTTTAGGTGGCACTCACATTGGTGAAACTGCCAAAGTCTCCAGGGCCATGCAAAATAGGCACATGTATTCTACCTTATAGCATCTTGGACCCAAACATACTTTAATCCAGTAAGATTTTACCCCAACCTACTTTTCTCTTTGATCATAGCTAAACAATACATGCATATCCTACCCACCCTCCAAATCTATGGAATTCTGTGTGTTCAGCTGCATTTCTTTATGTATATCCCTCAGTGCTTCTATTGTAGTAGAGTTATGTTAATTTAAGTTCTCATGCTACATGAAACCAAGGCCACCTCTATAATATAGACCCATGATCTGGCCCAGAGCCAAAACACGGAGGCTTTAATTAGTTCTACAGTTGAGCGAATTCATTGCTTTCTTTTTGGGCTTTAGCCTCTTTCCCTGCAAAAGACCAGACATTAATCACATCCTGAGAGATTTTGCGCGTACACACCTCACATCACTGCCCCAGGCCAACAGCAATCACTTGGTCTTTCACAGTTTAACTTAAAAATCAGATATGCATTCTTATCATTTTCCACATACAAACTGCGTCCAGCAGGCATTGGCAGGGAAGCTTTGTTTTTTTTTTTAAAGTGTGAGTGAAAACTGAGGCAGGTCTTTAAGTTCTTCCACACGTGGAGATTTTTCTGACCTGTGTGTGGACCAACTTATTTTATAGTGATCTGCATTCCCTCTCTCTTTCTAAAGCCATTGCCTTAGACTTCATTGAAAGAGCCCTGGTTTCTTCTTTGCACTCATGTTCACTGGCTTAAGAGATCTACTTAATCATATAATTAGAATGCTGAGTAATTTATTTCACCCAGGGAAGCATTAACTGGGGACCAGGTACAACTAAGTTCATTTATGCAATCCATGAGGTTCATCTGATGGGAATAGAAGCGTATAGCAAGCTTACTGTGAGTACAACCTGGCATCTGTCTAAACGCTTTAAAGAGGAGACTTTAAAGGGGGCTTAAAGAAAAGATCTGATAGATGGAATCTCTTCAGTACCACCGAGGGGACCCTCTAGACCCTGGTTACCAATGTGCAGTCTGGGCACATAACACCACGCCATTTGGGAGATAATGAATCATGGATTGCACTGAGTATTCTTGAAACAGAATCTTCCTTTTTAAACAAGAAGCCTTATGGTTCAGATGCACAGAGAAGCTTTGGTGTAGGGTCTGGGTATCAGTTACTTTTCTGATGCTATGATATAATGTCATGACCAACAGCAACTTAAGGAAGGTTTATTTTGACTTATTGTTCCAGAGATTTAGAGTACACAACAGCAAGGAAGGCATGACAGTAGGTAGGAGTGGGAGAAAAGTTATATTTCATCTGTATACAGGAAACAGAGAGAACAAACTAGAAGTAGGTGGGTGGGGTGAAACTATGCATTCTCAACCCCCCCACATACTTCCTCCAGAAAAACATCAAGTTCTACAAATCCATAGCTGCTGCCAACAGTGCCAAGAACTGGGGACCAAGTGAGTCTATGGAGGATGTTTCTCATTCAAACATAGCTTAGAACCTCATTTCTCACTCTGTGTCTTCCTCCTTGATAGACTCACCAACTTTTGAGTTTGGCACAAAGTAAATATGTAATAAATAGAGGAAAAGAACATTGTTGAAAATTGCCATAAGACCCTTGAAGCAAGTCAGTTTTATAACATTGTATGAGCCTCTTCCTGCTGCTACAACAAAAATCACAATGTTGAATGTCTCAGGCCACAGCTTTATTCTCTGGTAGGTTTGGAAGTTGGATGTTCAAAATTAGTCTCACTGAGATAAAGTGAGGTTTCACTGGGGCTGATTCCTTGTGGAGAACATGAGGGAAGATGGACTTCCTTACCATTGCCGTGGCTAGAGTCTGCTACACTCCTTGCCTAATTGCTCCTTCTTGGCATCCCTTGGACCTCTGTTCTGTCTCACACCTGGTGCTTCCACAGTCAGACATCCCGTTCCCCTTTGGGATATTTACAATTACAATCAGGGCCCGGAGGATAATCCAGGGGAATGTTGCCATCACACAGGATCCTCGGCTTACTCACGTCTGCAAGGCCCCACCATGCTGTGAAATCATCATCATCATTAGTGTGTGTACATACATGCGTGTGTGCATGTCTGTGTGTGTGTGTGTGTGTGTGTGTGTGTGTGTGTGTGTGTGTGTGTGTGATGCGGTGTGTGTCTTTTCCTGGTTCCTGATAAACTCCTAAAATCCTCTGTGGAAGGTTATTTTGATTAGGTTACTTGAGATGAGAAGCTCTCCCCTTTGTGGACTGCGCTGTTTCCTGGGCTGGGAACCTGGACTACATAAAAACGAAGAGGGCAACCATGGAAGTTGTTCGTAAGAGCTGTTTTGGTTTTTGTGTCTTTTACTAGCCTGCAGCTCTTCAGGCAGGATTGGCTGACTGACCACTGAGCCCCGGAGGTCTACCTGTCTCTGCCTCCCCAGCGCTGGGTCTATAGGTGTACACCACTTCTCCTAGCTTTTGCACATGGTTCTGGTTGGACTCTGGTTCTCATGCCTGTGTGACAACCACTTTATCAATGACTTATCCTTGCAGCCCCTTCAAATTCTTTTGTGGATTAACAGCCTCATTGCTGGTTTCCCCTCTTCCTCAAGCACAGCTATCAAGACCCACTCATGAAACTTATTGGGAGCAATTTTAGCTAATGCAATTCAGGGTTCACAGGGTAAATAGTTATATTTCAAATGAAGACGAATATGAGTTTTAATTTTATGGTTACTTCAGACTTCATAAGCAAAACCTTTTGCATAATAGATAAACTATGATGGGATTCTTTTATCAAAATGACCAGAAAGCATTTTCTCTTTTTACCATCAGAACTAACAATCACAAACTAATTCCTTTCCCTTTAAGATTGTATTGCATATTGTGTGTTTCAGGGATCATATTATTTATTTTTAGGGGTCCCTAAAACTTTCCAACAAAATACAGATTTCTGACCTGACTTACAAACAAATTGTTCCTCTGTCCCGCATGGTTCTGCAAAGCAGGAGGAGCAGTGTCTGTAAGAGGGGAAAGGCAGTTGAGTGAAGCCAGTGAGTTGTCCCTGCCAACATGTGAAATTTCCTGCTCCTGCTCACCCTTCCTCCCCCAACAGGTCGGTCCTGTGTGTAGTTACTCAACTGGGACCTCAGAGTTTCATATCAGCTCTGGGATCAGCTGCTGACACTTCCTGTTCCAGCAGAGCTTGGCTGTGAATCTCATGACCACAGGACAGTGAAATTGGTGCCGAACAGTCCAGATTGTCTCTGCAGCATAGTTCTTGGGTTGGAGGCATGGCTCATGAGCTGGGAGCACCTGCTGTTCTTACAGAGGACTAGGGTGCTGTTCCCAGAACCCACATGGTGACTTGCAACTGTCTGTTGTAACCCTGGTTCTAGGGACTCTCATACCGTCCTCTGGTCTCCAAGGGCACTGGGCATGCATGACATATATGTGCAGGCAAAGCACTTATACACATGAACAAAATGTTAAACAAACAAAGCAACCACAAAAGCCAAAAACAAATCCTACAAAGCATAGCTCTCCAGAAACTGGAGACATAGCTTAGTTGGTCCACTGCTCGTGTAGCAGCACAAGGCTCTGGGTTCAAGACTCAGCTCCACCTAAACTTGAACTGGTGCTGCACACCTGCAATCCCAGCACTTGGGAGGATGAGGCAGGAGGATCAGAATTTCAATATCACCCTGAACTACATAGGAAGTTCAAAGTCAACCTGGGTCACATGAGACCCTTTGTCAGAACAGAATTTCAGTTCTGCAAAACATTGCACTGGATATCCTCACCATGGAGCCCGAGGGAGACGGGGTTCCAGGCTTGCATTTCTGAAGCTCAGATCTCTTCCCCTCTCTGACAGGGTTTGACTGTCATCTTCCTGACATCCCACATCCTCTTACCCTGTGTGTCCGACTAAATCAAGTTGGGTGTGTCGTTGTCTGCACATGTGCTAGGCCATTGGGCAGGCAAAGAGGGGAGCCTTAAACCACACGAGTGGTTTGTGGTCTAGAAGTAGCCACTGCCTGAGCACCTCAGCACTACAGTGCTTGGTGAACAGCCAGCGCCCTTCCTCTTTCCTATATGTGTCCTTCTGCGTCTGGTTCAGGGTGGCTTTGGTGGGAAACAGGAAGAACAGACTGTATTCCTCCAGTTGGAGCAGAGATGGTGCACTCTAGTTTTCTAGAGAGGAAGTCGCGTACAAGGGAGCTCGAAGAGATCTTCATGATTCATAATTTTACCAATGAGTATTGTTTTCTTATTTACATTTAGAACCTGCTAATATGCCACAGACTATATTTAGTACTTTGCACTGAATATTTCACGTGACCCGAGGATCTCTAAGCCAGTGGTTCTCAACTTTTCTAATGCTATGACCCTTTAATATAGTTCCTCATGGTATGGTGACCCCAACCATACAATTATTTTTATTGCTACTCATAACTGTAATTTTGCTACTGTTATGAATTATAATGTAAATATCTGTGTTTTTGGATGGTCTTGGGTGACCCCTGTGAAAAACTTGTTTGAGCCCCAAGGGGGTTGTGACCCACTGGTTGAGAACCACAGCTCCAAGAGCCAATCAACTCACTGTTGCACAAGAAAATAGTAAAGCTTAGAAAGGTTGATCAGCATCCCTGTGCCATGCGGACAGAAGCTGAAGGAAAAGAGTTGGAGCCCTAGAAGTCTGTTCTCGGACTCCTGGTCTCTGATTTCTCATTCTAGCTCAGGTTTCTAAACTCCCACCCTTTCCAGATCAACTGTGGGTTCAGTGGTGCTCAAGTACAGCTTTGCAAAGCACTGTTCACAAGGGCAGGCATAACTCATGATAGGCTAGCAGACAGAGAGGCCCTACTCTCCAAGCCAGGGAGAGGAAATTTGGTCTGGGCTTCACCAGAGGGACTCCAGCCATGTAGTTATGTATTTCTTCTTGAGGGGCAATGTCAATGGGTGTTTACATGCAGTGTTGATGTCCCAGAAGGAATGAAGAATAAGTAGAAGATACCCTGTGGAACAGATCACCATCCACAATTCTCGAGCAATCAGCACATCTCTGCCAATCAGACCCCTTGTGGCACTTGCAGGCATTGTACTGTGTTGGTCCCAGCAGGGAATCTGCAAGTCTTTGTAGTCTGGTGTGCACTATGACGGCTGATGCGTCTAAAACCTCCTTAGGTTTTTGTGATTCCAAATGCTTTTCTAATCCTGTGCTCCTCTGTGGAACATAGGCTTGAATTCATGGATGAAAGGCCAGAGTCCACAGATGCAGGCTGGTTCTCTGCCCTCCCCCCCATCCCAGCCTGTTTAATGACTGGCATTATTTGTTGTACCAAGGTGAAATGGATGTTGCCTGTCATGGATTGAATGAAAATGGGCCCCACAGGCCCATAGCCTGGTTGGAGTAGGTGTTACCTTGTTGGAGAAAGTGTGTCACTGGGGGGGGGGTTGGCTTTGAGGTTTTCAGATGCTCAAGCGAGGCCCAGTGTCACTTCTCTTCCTGTTGTCTGATGATCTAGATGTAGAAATCTCAGCTACCTCTCCAGCCTCATGTCTGCCTGCATGCTACCATGCTTCCTCCATGATAATAGGCTAAACCTCTGAAACTGTAAGCCAGGCCCAATGAAATAGTTCCTCTTTATAAGATTTGTCATGGTCATGGTGTCTCTTCATAGCAATAGGAACCCTAACTAAGACATTGCCCAGACAAGCACAGGGGAGGCAATGGTAGACCCGCCAGGGTGGAAGATGGCTCATAACAGACACATGGCTGGCTTCCAGTTGCCCCTGGAATACACCAGTTCACACCCACCTCTGTAGAATGCCCGCTCCTTTGCTCGCCCTTTGCTGCACCAGGAGGCTCGTCTGCACGTGTACCTGTCCCATTCTCGTTTTCTTCAGGTCTTTTCTGCAGTGCTGTTGTGTCAATGAAGACTTCATCACCCAGCTACTTAGAAATGCCATCGTGCTTCCTCTCCCGCCAATCTGACAAGACTCTCTCCTCATACAGCATGTCTTTTCTCCCACAGCATTCTCCACTGGCTAATACACCATACTCAGTCATTTGATTCATTGCCTGTCTCTTCTCACTACAACAAACCTCCCGGGAGCACGAGGCTTTGCTCCGCTTGCTGTTGGCTGCAATCTCAGCACCTGGCCGGCACCTGTGGGACCACATGGGAAACAGTCGCTTAATATTTGTGGTATGAATGAATCGTAGACAGCCCAATCCCATTGAACCATTGCAAATTTTGAAGACAATAATTCAGGCCAAAAGCTATTGAATATTGGCAGTTTTGTGTGGCTTGACCTAATACAATGAACCCGTAATAATTGGTTCAAGATAGCTGTGTGGCAGGGGCATTTTCATCATTTCAAAACATTGAGATCTGTTTTTAAGCATGTATTTTCCCTAACCCTGTGGTCCACAGAGCAATCTTTTTTCTAGAAGACTGTTATATCAGAGGCAGAAATGCTAGTATCTTCAGACCTCCACGTGTAGTTTTTCTTGGCTGTGAGTTAGTTAGATAAATTAGGGGTTAATAGCCCACAAAATTGATCAGAAATGGTGGCGGTCAGTGATGGGACAATGTGGACAGGAGGAGCAAGGCTCTGTGGTAGAGCCGAGAAGGCTATCCCTGGTGGTCACAGTGTTCAGAGGGCAGAAATTTTCCTCTGCAACATGGTGGGTTTTTGATCTTGCTTTTTGTTTTTTTCTATATAGCCAAGGGAAAGGGAATAAAAACCTAGAACCTCCTACCTTAGAATCCCAGCTTTCTTAAAGCTAGTTTGTTAAAATCCAAATGGAAAAAACCTTAGTTTTGGTGTCTCCAACACAGTTCAGAAGACAAATGCTGTCAGTCTGTAATTCAAGGGACCAGATCAGCTGTTAGCCCCCAACACATAGCATTGACTCTATAGTTATGTCACCCACTGTTGGAAGTTCCCACAACACAAGGGGCCACCTTTAATATCTGCAGGAGCTAGGAGTGAAACACAAACAAGCTGGGCAATGGGTTCACGAGTATTTGATCCTACTACATGTGACCCCAGGCTACATTTTTCCTCACTTTGGAGTGAGATATGGACACAGAGCGTTCACCTGTCTCATAGTATCTTAAAGAAAACAGCAATGAAACATGTTTGTAAGGACCCTTGGCCTTGCCTCTCAGGACTGTGAGGGTTTGGCCACATTAGTGACCCACAAGGTCAGCTTGACTGTCTCCATCAGCTGTGGCACTCCATGCTGCGTTCAAGTTGCTGTCAATCATTAATAATGCACCTGAACATAGGAGTGGTGATGCTTTTGTAGTAATTGTCCTATGCTATAGCTAGGGGTGGTTGCTAACTCTCATCATGCCTCATTCATAAACTGAACCTTACTGTAAGCTTGCATGTAGAGAATTAAAACACGCCATATGAAGGGATTAATACTATCTGAAGTTTCAGGAACTATGTAGGGTACTATATTGTGTCAAGAGGCGCCACTATACTCTTGAAATGGAAACAGCCATTTTTGCCAATACTTATTTAAAATGCCGTGGGAATCTGTAACCACAGATAAAAGAAAAACATCAAAGTGAAAGGCATGGCATGTTTGAAAGTTTTGTTACCTTGTTGGGCATGGTGACAACTGCCTTTAATCCTGACACTTGAGAGACAGAGGAATGTGGAACTCTGTGAGTTGGGGCCTGGTCTATACAGTGAGCTCCAAGCCAGCCAAAGTTGCATAGTGAGGCCTCCCCTTTCCCCTTAAAAAGTCTAGTTCCTCAGCAAATGCTTGAGGTCTCCCCGTGAGCTCTGGCCACTCGTTCCTATCACCTTTCTGGATTCTTCCCTGACTGCACACGGTGGGGGTCACATTTTAATAGCTGCTGCTGCTCCTCTTGTAGACTGTGTCATCCTCCCTGCCCCTTGCTTCCTCGCCACTTTTGTGGTCTCATTTCCAGGGAAAACTCCCCAAGCAGACCCGGCCACCCCCGTCTCCACCTTACCCTATGAGAACCCCACTCTTGTACCTGGAACTGCACCAAGTCCACAGCTGCTGACCCCTGACCTCACAACAAGCTTCATTCTTTGTGTGCACATCCCCTCTCCGTGGCAGCGACTGCCACCACCCCAGTCAGTCACCCCCAGTCACCCCCAGTCACCCCCAGTCATCTGAGTCAGGGTCAGGACGCCTCTGCCTCTTGTGTAACAACCTCCAGGGTTCTCATTTCCATCATAGGCTCCTGTGTGTCTTCCCTCAGTTGGGAGGTTGAGTTCAGCCTCCTCACTCTGCCAAGCTGAAGAAGGCTCCTTGCTGATCCTCAGTTACCTGGAAGAAGTCAAAACTTCACCTAAGCCTTCTGGGCCTGCCTACAGCAGCCTCTGGCCTGCCTGTCTTTCCTCTAGCTCAGACTTCACAGCCCCTTAGGAACAAGCAGAGGAGGAGGAGTTCTTCCTATACACGCACATTTGCTGTTCTAGAGCATGTTTTAAAACCCTCAGTCCCCCTCTCCCTCTCCTGCCTCCTCCCTCCTTTTCTTTTTTGTGATGGAATCTGTCTCTGTAGTGCAGGCTGCTCTTAAACTCAGGGCAGTCTGCCTACCTCGGCCTCAGTGCTCAGAAGACAGGCGCGAACCGCCACAGCTGGTCCTTTTAGAAAGCTTCTCATCTCCCTAATACATTTGTCAAGTCAGAGTGAGAAAGCTGCTTCAGGAAGCCTGCCCACCCCCCACCCCCACCCCGCTCTGTGAGTCCCACTCACGCCCCTCCCACATGAACTTTCACAGCCCCCTGTACTTCCCCATCATATCCCTTCTCCTGTTATATTTAGCTCTTCACTCAGTCAGCCTTCTCCTTTCCATGAGCTGCATCTGGGAAGTAGGAGAAGAGAGGTGGAGGAGAGAGGCAGAGACCAAGTTGCTTGTTCAGGAACTTTCCTCCAGCAAACGCTAAAGCTCTTAACGAATGGTTAGAGTTAATAAACAAATGCATGGATGTTCGCTTTCACTATTGCTGGTGCTAACTCAGACTCTACTATTAATCAAGACATCTGACTCTTCATCTTCTAAAGGTCAGAGAAGGTGCAGGAGAGGCTACACCAAGTTTCTCCCCCAGCTCAGAAGCATCGGCCTCTGTGGCTGCCATGAACAGCCTCTCCATAGCGGCTGCTTTTGCTGATTGACTTCCTGAGTGTGCACAATGACTTCCCCATGGGTCATATGTTTTTCCAAGACTCACGGGAACTCACTCCCAAGAGCCCAGGAAGTTCCCCATGAGCCTCTAAATGCCTTCTCCAGAATTCCTAAGTTAAAGGTCCCAGGACTGAAACTTTGGATGTGAAGTTCTCCTGGGTGTTCAGGAGGGCCGTCAGCATTTTTGGGGCTGCATAACTGTGTTGGGTCAGGCAGAAAGCAGTGTAGATCTGGGACTCCAAAGTCCTCAAGAGCCTAACCCAAAGTTAGGGGGCCCAGCACTCCTGTGACACTGGGTGGCCTCCAGGTAAGTGGGGCAGCCCCTTCTAGTGCTTATGTGTGCTTCCTGTCACAGACTTTGTGCTTGTTCATGTGACTTGGGGTGGGACAGTGGAACATAAGCAGACAAGATGAACACAGAGGCCTGAAATACTTTTGTTGGCTCATATACTCCTTAGCTCCCAGTGAGAAGGACACACTGTGGGTCACCACGTTTGATCCTTGGATATCAACTTTGCATTAGTCTGTGTTGCCTCTTGGAGATCTAAGCAAAGATGTACATAATGTGGAATTCAAAACTGGCCTATTCTGAAGACACACAAAGGGGTCATTATACACATGGGATAGCTAAAGTCTTAGGGCAGCCACGCTTGGCAAGGTGATGAAGATGGAGAAGGAGTCTGCTGGTGGAATCATGATTTGCAGACTAGAGAAACGAGAAGGAATTAGAGGGGAACCGGAAACAGAGCAAAAGAAAAGGAGGCAGAAAAGCAGGCAGCCACAGAGGGGTGGATAGAGAGGGCGTTCAGAGCTGTCCAAAGTAGCAGTGATGACTCAAGTCACCTCGCTGGTAGTTGAGGACAGAGACCTGGCCTCCCGGTTCAGTGACAGAGAAGCCACTGGTGTTCTTAAGAAACCATTCTATAGGGTACCGGGGGACAAGAGCTTCAAAGGAGGAATCCAGGAAACAGGAAGAGGAGAGACAGCAGCAAGTTAAAGAGTCCTTATTAAAAAACAAATTCTCAAAATCAGGCTGTGGCCAAAGGAGGAACGGCGTCAAGAGAGTTTCTTGGAGATGTAAAAATGATGTTGTAATGCTAACGTTGATGGGGAAGACCCAAGAGAAAGAAGGAAGAGGTGAAGAAGTGGAGCTGGGGGAGGGGAGGTGGCCCATGAAACAGTGGGCAGGAAGGCCCTCCTCAGTAGACACCTCATGAGGGGCGAGGAAAATGCACGAGCGTTGTCCAGGGGAAATGAAATGAATGGGTCTGGATGTGTGGTGTGGATGCGGTGATTATGCGGAGAGGCCTGGGTCCGCAGACACCTGCACAGGAGCCCTGTGAAGTCCCTCTATTAATTGCTGCACTTACTGAGGAGGGCACTGAAACAGGAAATAGTCAAGGAACAGACCCAAAGTCACACAGCAAGAAAATGGGAAAGCTAGAATTTGAACACAGGCAATTTGGTTCTCCGGACTAGAAGCTTAACCGCTAGGTTAAGCTGACCCAGTTAAAGAGGTAAAGGCCCACCACAAGCCGAACTAGGTACAGTGAAGGTTGAATTTGTGTTTGTGGGATAACTACTGTGTGCCAAAAATCTGTACCAGAGGCCTCTGCAACACCTCTGCACACATAGTCGTGAAGGGGCCCACTTTTCTGAAAAAGATGTAAGGCCCAGGAAGATTCTTTCAGAGGGGAAGGAAATCCTGGGTTTTTAACCGTTGATCCGGTTGTAAATACCACAGCATGTCCACAAAGTGGAAGAAACATTAGCCCTTTTTGTGGTCCTGCCTAGCTGGAGTCAACTTACAGCAGAGTGCATCCAAACCTCCATGCATCAGGTCACTAGGAACCTTTATCCCAAGCAGGTGAAAGCTGCGTGGCCTTTACACAGCCAGAACTGTAAAGAAGATAACTTGGGTACCAAGCTGGCTGCCTGTCTGACCTATTTTACAAGCTGATTGTTTGAGGCAAGGAGGGGGAGCACAGGAGTCAAGGCACATGGGAAGGGTCTTGGGGTTCTCTTTCTTTTTTAGTTAAAACCACACCTTATATCACAAACACGCTCAAGCTTTGCAAAAATTTTCTAAAAGTCTTCTGAAGAAAGTGTGCTCATAATGCCACAACGCTGAACAGCCACCCACTTCCTCAAAATGCAAGGAAGCAGACAGTTAAAAAAAAAAAAAGCAGTGGCTGTTTATCACAACTTCACTTCAGTGAGGCCTGAGATTCTTCCGAGCAGGGGCCCTGCTTCCCACAAGGCCAAGTGTCAACTGGGATATTTCTGGTAGAAATCGAACGCAAAGCAGGGTGCCAACCCCCGGGGACTGTGGGTGGGATTAGGGGAGCTTGGGTGCCATCCTCAAGTGACAGATGGGTGGACCTTTCCGTCTGAGGGAAAGGAAGAGGCACGTGGGCAGATAAGCCTGGCATGTACAAGTGCCCCTGAAGCAAACACCCGGCAGAGAAGACAGACGAACGGAAGGGAAGACCAGAAAAGCAAGAAGGGCACAGACTGGGACACACTGGCCACTAGACCAGCTACTCACCCAAGTCGGAAGCAAAATGTCCCTGAAGTTACCAAGGACCTGGGATTTCAACTTGAAAGCGGAGGCTGCGAAAATAGGTAAGGTCAGGGTCCAGGTCTCCTCCGGGTGCTTTTGCTTGAGCACTATTTGCATGCTGGGCGGTGGGAGCTCAGTCAGTGAGAGCATAACACTGAGCTGGGCGGAAATTTGCATCCAGGTTGACTAAAGTTTCAATGTGCTGGGAGGGGGCTCTCCTGTTGGGAGGTGGGGTACGTGGATCAAGGGAACTTTGGTCTCTGGAAAGTTGTTTCTGGCTTGGAAAGTCATCTATCTGTTGAGTGGCCTTCAGTAAGAGCACAGAGATTGGAGTATTTTGAAGTGATTCATCCATGTGTGAATTTAAGTGAGTGTCAAGTATGGGAACCCAGGGGCCAATGGGGGGAGAGTGGGAGGGTTATCAGTAAAAAGCAGACATGGAGAACGAGGTGAAGGTATATAGACTTCTGAAGTATGAGAACAGTATTCTAGAGGAACAGAATGTGGGAGGGCTCAGGAGAGGTGGTAAAGACAGACTTTAGTTAGTTAGCAAGGATAAGTCTGAAATGTTCTGTTCTTCACTTCACACAGTTTTCCTATAATGAAAATGGCGATACATTGGTTCAAATCTATTGTTTGTTATTGTGTGTGTGTGTGTGTGTGTGTGTGTGTGTGTTGTTCATTTTTTTGAGACAGGGTCTTGCTATGTAGTTCTAGTTGACCTGAAACTTGTTATAGAAACTCACATCCACAGATACCCATCTGCTTTGCCTCAGTGCTGGGATTATTGACATGATTATTGACATGGTTTGTGTAACCTGATATTTCTTTTATTATTAAATTTTATTTTTGAATTGATCACAGTCAGATGAAGTAATTGGCTTAAAAGTGATTCACACACACACACACACACACACCATCTATATAATGAGATAACTTCTTGATTTTAGACATTAATGTGGAGGTCTTGCAACAGCTTGGAAGGATTTTGCTTGGAGGAAAGGTTAGGCCAGATGCTTCATAGTTAGCTGTTGTTGTGTTAAAATAGTGGTCCATTGAAAATTCACAGATGGGAAGCAGGTCAGAAAAGAGGCTTTGAATGTAAACTGAAAGTAACCAAAGGAGCCGTTTATGTTGGTGGCCCCAGAGACCACATCACCAAACCAAGCTGGTCCTGTGTGCTGAGGTCCTTTCAGAGATGAGGAGCAGGCTAGAGCTCTCTCTTCTGTCCATACAAACATCCATGTCTAATGTTCACTCTAAGTTACCCAAATCCAATTTAAAGTAAAATGTCCATGACTGGGTCCCTGTGTAAATGTCCTGCCTCTCCTGTGTAAAGGCATCCTGCTCCCTCACCATCCATGTTTCAGCTAAAAAATGGGAAACTTGAGAGAATAATGTTAGATTTTTTCAGAAATACAGAAAATCACCACATTAGACTCTCAAGCCGGGAATAGGCTAAGAGGATTTTGTGATTTCTACCAGTGCTTCTTACAGGTAGTCCCTGGATAGCTTGTGGTAGAGCAGCCTCTACTGCTGGCTAAAAACACAGACTCTCAGGGTTCACTGTGACTGGAAAGTCAGAGGGAACCTCAAGAGGGGACCCCAGGACCCTGAATTTTTATGAGCATCCACCTAGTGAGCTTTAGGTTCCAGGACTAAGTGCATAGGCTAAGGGTCACTATGCAGGCAGCACTGAGCCTAACGCCTGCACCAACAGGGCAAGCAGGGTTTCTGACTGACTGAAATCTGATCACCAGAAAGCAATGTTACTTAGTACTACTTAATACATATAATAATAAGTACATAATGTTTGAAGAGTCTTCATCATTATCCATGACATCTATGGTTTGTCACAATATTGCAGAGTGTCACATGGACTGGCATTCGTTATCATAAGTAGATCCCTCGGAAGAGAAAGTGCTTGACTCAGTTGCAAGATCTTCAGCCCCTTCTCCCAGGACCAGACACAGTCTGTCAATATGTTTACCTGTTTATCAACATGTCAGAGAAGACACCTCCATAGGAAGGGCCATGTAATTGGGAGACCCCACAGGGAAGTCAAGGACTGTGATTTTCTATCCTGGGTAGTATAGTGGAGAAGGATCAGGATTTCTCTGTCTGGCCACTGCCGATGTTTGTGACTGGGTAATTCTTATTGCAGGGGTTTTCCTGCACATTATAAGATGCTTAGCAGCATCCCTGGCCCTTACTGTCTTTAGGATGGTAACACCCTTCCACCACCACCGACCGTAGCCACCAAAACTGTCTGAAAACATTGTCAGATGTCCCCTGGGGAGATGTGGCTGTAATATTTTCCCTAGGCCACTGTACCAAAGGATTACAGTTATAAGATCATGGGGATTGGAGCCCACACATCACATAGTTCAATTTTTAGGAGGCTTTTATTAAGATGTGACTTGAAGAGGATGGGAGAATGTTTGAGAGCTCCAAAAAAGGCATTGGTAGTGCATGCCTTTAATCCCAGCACTTGGGAGGCAGAGGCAGGAGGATCTATGTGAGTTCGAAGCCAGCCTCGTCTACAGAGCGAGTTCCAGGACAGCCCCCAAAACAATACAGAGAACCCCTGTCTCGAAAAACAAAAAACAAAAACAAAACAAAACAAAAAGGCTCTTGATGGGAAAATACAAGACACAACCACTGTGGAGTCCAACAAGCGGCTGCTTTTCCTTTTGGTTCCTCTAATCTTGAGTGCTAACCCAGGACTGGAGGGAAAGCCAACACCTCTGAGGCTGGGGAGGGTTCTGCAGCTATGCTCTCTCTCAGAGGATGGAGGGCACCCTCAGAGTAAGCAGCAGAACTGCAGGAGATCCTCACCATGGCCTGGATGTCTCTGGTGCAGGGACAAGAGAACAAGGATGAAGCCACCTTATATCCGACCCATCAATCCTAACGGGGAAATGGAAACCGAAATAGAAGGGAAAGGCAGCAATCCGGGCTTGAGGTGGGGTCAGCAGCACATCCTTCTTCCGGAGACGTGGCATCACCTGCCATTTTAGTCCAGCCACTTGAACCATGACAGCTGCCACTGTGTTCACGTTCACACCTGTTCTTCTAATGCTGACGTGTTGGTGCTACCTCCTCTCCCTCTCCCTCCCTGTGTGTGCACGTGGGCATGCACATGTCATGTATGCGCATGTGGGGTGAGAGGGCACCCTCAGCCCTCATTGCTCTCGCCGGCCTGGGCTCACAGGCTAGTGAGCCCCAGAGACGTGCTGTCTCTGCCTCTCCAGTGCTGGGATTATAAGCACCAAGCACAGATGGGTACATAGACTCATGGAAGTGAGGGGAAAAGACATTTATGGATTATTGGAAAGTAGGTGGACAGCCCAAGCAGTGACACTTGACCAACAACCGTATGAAAATACACAATCTTCTTAGTCAGGGGGTGCAAATGAGAAGCGCTGTGGCACATGTGTTCTCATCCACCAAATCAAATCAACTGAGAAAAATCGGATAATTCCAAGTGTTGTCCATGACTCAGTGCAGGGAGGACTCACAAGCCAAGCATACTGCCATTGTGGAGATGCACTTGACATAGCTCACCTGAGACCACATCCCAGAGATTAAATGTGCAGGAGAAGTCTGCATGTTCATCTGTAAGGGGATGGTTTAGTGCTTGGTGGCATCTTTATAAGATGTAACAGGGTACAAGAGCAAATGATGACAGCTATGTACAACTGAGACTCAACAGCAACAACTTATTTTGGAATTCCCAGAAGAGAGAGCGCAGTCATTCATATTAAGTTTAAAAAGGACATATGCTTATAACAAAACTACAAAGGAAAACAGAATTGCATGATGTAAAATCCAGCGTTATTGCTCTTTTGGGAGAGAAGGAATGGAAAACACATGTGTGAGGCATCAAAGTTCCTATCTCAGCAATCCGCACATGTGTGGTTCTATGTCAAATGAAGAACAGCAACACATCCAGATTCACAGTAAACCATCAACAACACATGCAGGGTTTGTTAATAGTGGATAACTATGGGAAAAGACTTTATCAGTGAGATGTACCATTTGGGGCTACATAGGTAACATAAGATATCAATGGGAGAGCACAAAAATCCCCAGCTGTGGCCATGGCAACTGAGACCAACTGGCTCCAGGGGGAAGCAGGGAAATCATGGACCCCCAAGCAAGGATCAGGCCACTTAGGAGGCTCCCATCACGGAGGACAGCAGCAAAGCTTTGCAGAAGCTCGGGAAGAATTTAGATAAGAAAGTCACACAGAGAAAAGAGAATTTGCCATCCCCCTTTCTTCAATCCCCACTTTGCTCTCTGGAAGAAAGGACTGTCGTAGGATTAGCAGCTAGGTGTAGGCAGCTGGCCTGTTCCTCAGGAACCCATTGGTAAGTAGAGGCAGACAGGGAAACAATTCCAAAACTGTGCTGAGACTAGCTACATGGGTCACAGGGGACATCACTGAGACAGAAATCTGCTGCCACCATCTTCCTGTCCCACCATATCCTTCCGTAATATGCTAACCATTATTTCCCAAACTTTCTCTGATTGTGAACCTTTTTAGGCCAGGGAATTTTTGTGCAATTCCGGGCACATAAGTATTTTTAAATAGTATACAAACCAATATCTATTGGTAATGATTCATAGACAAATTTTCAAATAAGTCTGTGATATGCATATAATTTTATCTTGTATCGAAAATGAGAGCACATTTACACAATAGTGAGCTGAAAATGAGGGCACATTTACACACTAGTGAGAAGGATGCATTTGCTCATTTTTTGCACAGGGAGTTCAGTCTTGGCTGAATATTTGACACTGCAGAGGGTCTTCAAGAGTTTTCAGAGCTGATTGATATTTTGGCTCATAACTGTCAATGCCAAGAACACTACTTTGCATAAACATATAATATAAAATGTCACGGGGCTGGGAAGGTGGCTAAGTGGTTAACCAAACTCTCTGCTCTTGCAGAGGCTCAGGTTGTGTTCCCAGCACCCACAAAGCTATTCACCAACCATCTGTAACTCTAGTTCCAGGAGACCAGGTGTCCCTCTGGCCTCTACAGGTACTGTCCATGTATATGATGCACACCAATACATGTAGGTAAACACTCCTACACAAGAAAAATAAAAAAACCAAATCTTTATAAAAATAAAAACGAGATGGCAAAAGTATGTTAGGGA